ACAAAAAGAAAACCAGGAATACACCTCCCTCTCAACACAGAGAAAATCACAAGCCAAAATAAAAGTAAGCTAACACATTCCCTTGCTAGCACTTACTAATTCTAATGGAGTTGGATAGCTTGCTTTCTCGATCTGTCTCTGGCAAGCACACAGGACAGACAGACAAACGAACAGACAAACAAAGCCTTTCCCCCCTTCAGATTTGAAAGTATCTTGTCCCCTTATTGGTCTTTCTGGTCAGGTGCCAGCTAGGTTACCTGAGCTTCTTAACCCTTTACAGGTAAAAGGATTTTGTGCCTCAGGAGGGATTTTATAGTACTGTATACAGGAAGGTTGTTACCCTTCCCTTTATATTTATGACAAACCCCAAGGCAGCCAGGAATTGTTAGGGGAAGGGGATGAGGAGGCCCTAGTCATACTTCTTTCCTCCCAAAACGTTGAGTAGGCGATATCTCAGAAGAGCAGCACAGTGCACCTGAGAATAGCACCTATATCCCCTGACTCCAGGTCCTGAGCCACCTCTGGTTGCTTAATACTGCATTGTGTAGCATCCAGGCATAAGCTTCGTAGGCCAAGGGACTAATAGTTGTTCTGGATCAGTTACACTGAACAGTAACTGAAATGCATTACAGTTCTCAGAGGAAGCACCTACATTTCATTTTTATTTTAAATAGATTTTGATCCAATAAGACCGCTATAATAAATGCCTATTGACTATAAAAATGCTGAGGGCATTTTAGATACAGTGCACACTGCACAGTGCTATCCCTTGGTGAGTGCTTTAATAATGAATTTCAGTCATATGCAATAACTGCCTTTTGCATCTAACTATTTACATGTATTAAAAGGATGCTTGGTAAATAAAAACGCAATCAATGGGGCATTTGTTGAATATTAATGGCCTGGTTACTAAGGCTTAGAATTTTGGAAAGTAAACTGTAGAGTGAGCCTCAGGAAACATTCCCAGTATTGCCAACCCCAAGCAATCAGAAATCATGAGTCAAGTCCTTTAAAATAATGACATTTTTTAAAAAAAATAAATACAAATTTCTTTTGATTTGCCTTTATTTGCTGTTGGTGCATCTAAGGTGCATGTTTTTAAGCTTTTTTCTGTACCCAGAAGTGCGAGAAACCTCCCTCTTCTTCTTTATAACAGCTGAGCTTTTCGAGCAATTTTCTGATTCCGATGGCTGGTACTTCAAAAAAAAATATCAAATATCACAACAATCATGATTAGGGCCCTACCAAATTCACAGTTCATTTTGGTCAATTTCACAGTCATAGGATTTTTAAAATTGTAAATTTCATTATTTCAGCTATTTAAATCTGAAATTTCACAGTGTTGTAATTATAGGGGTCCTGACCCAAAAAGAAGTTGTGGGGTGGGTCACAAGGTTATTGTAGGGGGCGGGGGTTGCGGTATTGCTACCCTTACTTCTGCGCTGCTGCTGGTGGCGGTGCTGCCTTCAAAGCTTGGCAGCTGGAGATCAGTGGCTGCTGGCTGGGAGCCCAGCTCTGAAGACAGAGCTGCCACCTCCAGCAGCGCAAAAAGTAAGGATGTCATGGTATGGTACTGCCACCCTTACTTCTGCACTGCTGCTGGTGGGGTGCTGCCTTCAGAGGTGGGTGCCCGGCTAGCAGCTGCATCCCTCCGGCCACCAGCCGCCGTTCTCCAGCCACCCAGTTCTGAAGGCAGCACAGAAGTAAGGGTGGCAATACCGTGGCCCCCCTAAAATAACCTTGCAACCCCCCTGCAACTCTCTTTTGAGTCAGGACCCCCAATTTGAGAAACGCTGGTCTCCCTTGAGAAATCTGTATAGTATATAGTAAAAACACACAAAGGACCAGATTTCACGGTCCGTGACGCATTTTTCATGGCCGTGAATTTGGTAGGGCCCTAATCATGATGAAATCATGAGAGTTGGCAACATTTTCAACATTGGTGTTGTGACAGGTTTGGTCACAGAAACTCCCTCAAGACTGTCACTAGATGTGCTGGAATACCACTGAGAACAAACCCACCTGCCAGAAAAGGCTTCCTTCCACTCCCGTCTTGCTGAGCTAGACACTCCAGTCAGCTACAGCACAGACCAAGAGGTTGGGCCATGCCCCCTGCAGTTCACAAAAACAAAGATTCACTTAGTCCAGAGGTTTCTCAGTTAACAGGTATTTTCCCAGCACCCAGTATTCAGTCTTTCTGGGAGCCTAAACCCCAAATGAATTCGTTTTACTCTGTATAAAACTTATACAGGATAAACACATAAATTGTTCACCCTCTATAACACTGATAGAGAGCTCTTTGCTCCCCCAAGTATTAATTACTTACTCTGGGTTAATTAATAAGCAAAAGTGATTTTATTAAGTATAAAAAGTAGGATTTAAGTGGTTCCAAGTAATAACAGACAGAACAAAGTAAGTTACCAAGCAAAATAGAACAAAACACGCAAGTCTAAGCCTAATACAGTAGGAAACTGAATACAGGTAAATCTCACCCTCAGAGATGTTCCAATAAGCTTCTTTCACAGACCAGACACCTTCCTCATCTGGGCTCAATCCTTTTCAGACCAACCTTGTGTTTTATGGCCTAGGTCCAGCAATCACTCACACCCCTGTAGTTACAGTCCTTTGTTCTAGTTTCTTTCAGGCATCTCTTTGGAGTGGAGAGGCCATTCTTGAGCCAGCTGAAGACAAAATGGAGGGGCTTCCGGGCCCTTGTATATTCTCTCTCTTGTGGGCAGAAACGCCATTGTTGTTCTGTGCAAAATCACAGCAACAAGATGGAGTTTGTAGCCACCTGGGCAAGTCACATGTCCATGAATGATTCAGCTTTTTGCAAGCTGACACCATTGTTTACATGTTAGTTTGAACATTCCCAGAAAAGTTCAGATGTGGATTGGCGTCTCCCAAAGTCCTTGGTCAGTTAAGTGTTTCTGGATTGGGCACTTACTCAGAATAGTCCTTTCTCAAGAAGCTTATCAAATGCTTCACTGATGCTACTTAGAATCAAACGCATTGAAATACAAGTACATAGCTAATATTCATAACTTCAAATACAAAAACAATACACATATACAGACAGCATATTCATAACCAGCAAATTACAACCTTTCCATAGACACCTTACTTAACCTCCTTTGTACAAGATTTGGTGCAACTATAGGACCTTAGTTGTAACAATGATCTATATGGTCACAGTTCATGTCAATAATGTCACAGGTTTCTACTAGATTAAAATGAGGAGGGTGGAAACCCCAACACTGGAATCATTCTGGTTCTCAGTGGTAGCAGATGAC